CATTGCCAGAATTTTCAGAGCCCGAGGGATGCCCGCTAGGTTTGCTTCTGTTGGAGTTGATTTAGGCGTTGACACTGCGGCAGGTCGCCGTCGGACTAGGAAGAAGGCACGCCAGAGAATGGCTAAAGCCAGCGGTCGTTTTTCTAGGATTGTGAAGATGCGCAGGCTGGCTGGTCTGAGGAAAGTCACCCAGGGCGCTTGGCGCACGGGAGCCTTACCACAGGCCAGCTTTGGCCATCAAGTTTATGGTATGCCACCGAGTCAGGTCCTGCTTCTGAGGCGACAAGCTGCTCGCACGGTCTCGGGAATGGGTAAGGGCAAATGTTTAACAACTGTTCTGCAGACTGTGCTGGGGGATGGAGATCCCGCCCTGGAACTGCGCCGCCAATTGGTGGACGCCTGGCTGCAGCTGTGGAAGCGCTTCCCCGCCCTCCAACCTCGTATTCGACGGTCGTGGGGTATCGTTCGGTCGCAGCTCGACTCGCTCGGCGCCAAAAGGTGGAGAGGCATTCGGGGGCCCATAGCTGCAGTCCAGGCCACCCTTATTGAAGCAGGATGGGAGCCCAGGGAACCGGACCTGTGGGAACGACCTGAGCATGCGGAGCATGCGTGGAGGTTCCCACGAATGGGCGACCCAGATTATGATTTACTCCCGATGTCTGACCATGCAGACTTGTTGCATGAGTTCGTTGCTGACATGAAGGCCAAGTTGTGGCAAGGTGCTGCAGGGCACGAGGCAGGCGACAGTTTGAAAGAAGGAGCTGATCTCCTCCCACTGCAGCAGGAACTCCGCCGCTTCGAGGCGCGGGGTCAGTCGGATCTGTGGGGCCTCACCTTGTGCGTGGCCTCGGGGGGCCAATGGCCACGTCAGCGCCAAGCCGACAGTGGCTACACGGTTGACGTAACTTGTCCAAGGTGCAAGGCGGCCCCTGAGACCTTGTTTCACAGAATATGGCAATGCGTGTGTAATGTTGATCACCAAGATTTTAGCAGCACGCAATCACTGGTTTCCCAAGCCACGGCGCAATGGGAAGCAGACCCTTCCTTATGGCTGAGAGGAGTCCCGTCGAGAGACCTCACCTGCCCCGTCTTCCTTGACCCTCTTGAGGCCCCTCCTCTTTCGTACTACGGCTCCTCTCGCCTCAGTGAGTTTTGTGTAGCCCCTGGCCAGGACCCTCCCCACCTTTTCGGAGATGGGTCAGGGGGTAAATACAGCAGTGACCCGAGACGCAGGCGCTGTGGTTCTGGAGTTGCCCTCATTCGGCGGGCTGATGATGGCTCCTGGGAGCCCGTCTCGGGAGTTTCGTCCCCCCTCCTGGGGCCGCGGCAGACTGTGTCGCGCGCGGAGATAGCTGCGCTCGCCATCGCTCTGGAAGAAACCACGGGGCCCATCATTTATGTCACTGATTGCCAGCCTGTCCTGGATGGTTGGAGAGCGGGTCGTGCCCACGGCAAGTTAGGCCCGAATCAGGACTTGTGGCTCAGGGTGGCGGTGGCGTTGCGTAATAGGGGGGCGGCTGAAGTACAGGTCGTGTGGACGGCTGCCCATCTTGAGGACTCTGGCAAGGCTCTCAGTGCTAGGCAAGCGTTCCTCACTGCTGGCAACATGTGCGCTGATGACCTTGCGGGGAGAGCGGCGGACGAGGCCTTGATCCTGTATACTCGCCAGCCTGCCCCCAGGACCGACATCTATGATTGCATCGCCCACCTTGTCAGACGCAGGGCCAGACGTGCGTTGCTGTGCTCACTCCAGGTTGACCCCTGGCAGGCCACTAGGCTCGCCAAAGTGCGGGTGCCCCCTCCCTCCAGGAAGGCCGCTGCCCTGAGGGACACCTCTCATGATTGTGAGCAGGTCGGGGGCAGATGGCGCTGTAGGGTTTGCAGTCAGATTGTTGCCACCACCCAGCTCCTCAAGTTTTGTGCCCAGTCTTGTCCAGGTCTGGCCCCAGAGGTCCGAGGCCAGAAGTCGGAGTGGAGCCAATTTGTCTTGAGGACTGGTGAGATTTTGATTGGGGCCACCTCGGCCCACTCGTCCCACAAAATCTTCTACTGGCCTGAGTTTTCCTTGCATTTTTGTGTTTGCTGTGGGCTCACCGCCACAGTAGATGGCAGGTGGCTCGCAAGACCCTGCCAGGAGCCCTCCCCCAAAGGAGCCCAGAACCTTGACAGGATCCGTCGAGGCGTTTTTCCCTCGCACAGGGGACCCCCGAAGGCTGTGCAGCTGGCCAGAGTGCAGCGTGAAGCTTCGGACGCGGTCCAGCGTGCGAGGGAGGCTCGGGAGGAGGGTAGTATTCTGCAGGCCTTCGGTGAAGGGGGTGTGGGTGGTGCGCCCCGACGACCCACCAGGATCCCTCACCGTGAGGGCGGGGACTCATCGTCTGATTAGTCCCCGCCCAACCCGTTTTGTTTTGCGGACGCTCGTCCTTTCATGGTCACTTCTGGTCACTCCTCCTCCTCCTCCTCCTGCCTCCTCCTCCCCTCCTCCTCCTCCTCCTCCTCCTCCTCCTCCTCCTCCTCCTCCTCCTCCTCCTCCTCCTCCTCCTCCTCCTCCTCCTCCTCCTCCTCCCTTCCTCTCCTCCTCCTCCTTCTCCTCCTTTTCCTCCTCGTCCTCCTCCTCGTCCTCCTCCTCATCCTCATCATCCTCCCCCCTCAGCGAAGGGGCTTGCGTTCCGGACCCCGCTCTCTCTCGTGGCCACGCGTCGACCGGAGCGGCGCCGGGCGCCGCGCCACGCCGCGCGCCGGCCCCGCGCCTCGGGTTCTGTGCGGGAGAGGGCGCACATTCAGTGGAGGCCCATGCCAAGAAACACCTTGCCTGCCTCCAGGGTGCTCTGGGTCTCTTGTGTTTTCGATGGCTCTGCCGTGGGCAGAGTGACGTTCCCGCACCAGAATTCGACACACGTCCTGGGGCCTCAGGGTTGGGTTTCTCGTGGGAGGTCTCCTGCGGAAGGGCCCCCTCTGCAAGCGCGTGCGCTTTTGTTCCCAGGCGCGTGGAGGGCGCACCGTGGCCAGGCCAGAGGAGGAGGAGGAGGAGGAGGAGGAGGAGGAGGAAGAGAAGGAGGAGGAGGAGGAGGAGGAGGAGGAGGAGGAAGGAGAAGGAGGAGGAGGTCTCGTAACAACCAATGGCATGACCATGCAGTTCCGGAGGTCCGCGTGGATCTCCGGCGCTGGACCCCCCCCCTCCCTGGAGCACGGGGCGCGCCAGGCGCGGCGCCGGAGGCGTCACCAGGGAGGGCCCGTCGCCGATCCGAGGAATCCGCGCGGACCTCCGAAAGTGCATGGTCATGCCACGGTTTGTTCCCCCTCCTCTTCCTCCTCCTGCTCCTCCTCCTCCTCCTCCTCCTCCCCCTCCTCCTCCCCCTCCTCCTCCCCCTCCTCCTCCTTCTCCTCCTTCTCCTCCTCCTCCTCGTCCTCCTCCTCCTCCTCCTCCTCCTCCTCAGTTTATGTTTACGCCACTGCTTCTTGCCATAGGAGTGCCATCAGGAGAGGGAGTGGAGGAGGAGGAGCAGGGAGCAGTTTCTCACAGAGCTCGCGGTCCGACTCCTACTCTCTTTCCTCGGGTGCTTCTCTTCCGCCCGCCCCTGGCGGCGAAGGCCGCTGGAGAGGGGAGGGCGATGCTTCATCGAAGTACCAATGCCCGCAGCCACGAGCCACGATGAGATCTGCGGCAACGGGGGGGGGATAAACTCAGGTGGAATGCATCGACCCAGATCGCCCATTATTGCCGATGGGGGCCCGATAGCCCACCCCGTTCAGGAACATCCGGTTTCGCCATCGAGGGTTTTTCGCCGATCAATCGACGATACTTCGATACTTTGCCAATTTTAGATCAATGTCCCCCCCTTGAGCCAGTTCCCTCTATCGCCCCCCCTCACTCCCGTTGCGTTTGGTCCGCGACTCGAGAGGGTGTGAATCCTCCTGAGCCTGAGTTATGGGACTACTAAACGCCATCCTCAGTTAGTCGGAGGAAGGAGAAGCGACACCATCCAGGTATGGCGAGGAGGTCAGCGAGGATCCAGGAAATCTGCGCGTATCTCCTACATGTTGTGCACGTGCCGTTTTCCCGTCTAGATGCAGCTTTCCGCTGCCACTGCTACAGATTGGAGGCGGGTGAGCTCAAACGCGCATTCGTCGAGGTTCGGAAGATCATCCTTCTTTGGCTCATTCATGGTCGTAAGTCGTCCCCTGACCCCTGGGCCTCTTCAACTTTACATCGCTGATCCCCATTCCATGCCCCCTTCCTGCTGCCCCGCTTCCCTCTTAACGGCTTCACACCTCTCTCTCTCTCTATCTCGCGCCATCTCTCTCTTTCTCTCTCTGTCTTCCATTATCGCTCTTTATTTGTCTCTCTCCTTATTCCTCTCCCTGCCCTTGTTAGTGTTACGTCGGTCTTGTTAGATCAGTATATCACTAAATCTGCGTTTATTCACCTCTGTGTTTTCAAGTTCGTGTTATTAGTATATTGGTTCCCCTCTGTCCTTCTCCCTCTCTCTCTCTCTCTACCTCCCCCTTTCCCTTTCCTCATTGCGATGGCCCATCTCTCCCCTCACCTCTCTCTCTCCCTTTCTCTCCTTTCTTTTTTTTCTCTCTCTCTCTCTCTCTCTCTCTCCGAGCGTGAATTGCCTACGCCGCGTTCGCTTCCAGGCAAAGCCAAGTCATACCACGCGCCTCCACGTCGAGCGCCCTGACCAGTGCGGGCCGTAGTTTGGCATCGCTTGGTAGCTCTTGGAAGCGAGGGTGGTCAAAAGCGAGGTAGGTTCGTTTGCCCCCTACTCTCGCTCTCTATATCTCTCTTTCTCTCTTGCTCGCTCTCTCTTTATGTTGTCTCTCTCTCTCTCTTTCTCTCTTTGTTCTCTCTCTCTCTCTCTTTGTTCTTTTTCTCTCTCTCTCTCACTCCCTTTCGGGAAGGTGAGGAGGGGAACACGTTGGCCCAGAAGTCCCGCGAGGGCCGAGAGGAGCGGCACAAACACGCATTGCCGCCTCGCGCCGCGGACACCCGTCAGGCGGGGCTACCCCCGCTCTCGCGCGTGCGCCAACCAGCTGTACCTGCCGCCGTACGCCTCCAAGGAGGAGCTGCGGGAGCGGCTCCATGAGGCCCCCGCCCTCTTCGCAGGGCTCGTCTCGATTCCCCCGATTCGATTCGAGTCGGTGGCCTCCGGTGCCCATTCGATTCGGCTTCGGATTGCGATGTGGGCTCCGAGTGCCCAGTGGAGGCTTATGAGTCTGTCGATGTCCGCCGATTCGACTTTTCTTGATTTGGCTGTTGATGTTTGCCGATCCGATTCGCTTCGATCGCCGATCCGACTCATCGAGTCGCTTCCGGGCCCTCCTGCTGCTTCGGGGCGCGCGCGCGGGCGGCCCCCGGGGCGGGGACGGCCGAGGGGGGGGGGCGGGGGGGGAGGGGGCGTGGGGAGGCCTCGGGTCCATGGGAGCGTCGAGGAGGCGCAGACCTTCGTGGGTGGGGGCGCGTGCAGTCCACAGACCTTAGCGACGTGTTAATCAAAGGTCGACGCGCACGTCCTTTTCATGGTCCAAGAGGGGATTGCTTTCCCTCAGTGCCCTCTCGCGCCAGAGCCACGGAGGTGCCATCGTTGCCAGCGAATGCCTGACATGCGGTGTCTGTGTGTATGCGTGTGTGTGTGTATGCGTGTGTGTGTGTGTGGGTGGTGTGTGTGTGTGTGTGTGGGACAAAGTGGGGGTACGGCAACGGCTGCATGCAGCCGGTGTCGGCTCCGCCTCTGGGTCCTCTTGTCGTTGTTTTGGCCGTGAGCGTCAGCCAGGTGGGCCACTTCGCCAAGCCTCCCTTCGCTGTCCTCGCCTCTCCCGTCCGACCCGAATGAAGGAAAGGACCTGGCATCGCTCGGGCGTGTGTATTTTTTCCTCGGCGAGGACCCTTGAGGAACATCCTGGATCATCGAGCGAAAAAAACGCACGAAACCGAACAATGCACGGGAAATGGACGTCCGAGCGACGGCAAGAGGAGGAGGGAGGCACCTCCTCCGCGATCCCTGAGGCTCGAGGATCGATGCTCGTAGGCCTCTTGAGGTCTCCTGTGGTCTACCGATGCATGCTGGGGTCTCCCCTCGGACACCGGCGCCCCGCACGGAAGGTGAGCTTCCGCTCGCAACAACTAGCTCTGATCGCGACATGTCTCGAGCAGCATTCGCGATATGTCTAATCGCGAATGCTGCGCAACTGTCTCTAATCGCGATATGTCTAATCGCGATATGTCTCTAATCGCCACTGTCGATCAGCCTGCCCGCTCTCGACTGCCCAGGAGAAGCCGGGGCAGGGGCTGCGTCTCGGAGTTCGGGTGCCGGAGTACGCCGGCGGTGTTTCGGGGGGTGCGTTGTTCCTGGGACTGGCGTGCCCCTCGGGACCGCCGGTAAGACGATGCGAGGTCAAGAGGTGGTGTAGACAGAATCTGCGTGGTGGGTCGCAGGGGTCGCACATGCAGTGTGATTCGTTGTTTGGTGGAATCACATATGTGATCTGACCAGTGATCTGCTGCACGGCTGCTCAGACCATTGCGTGTTCTCGATACTCTTCTTCTTGGACGCATGTTTGCCGTTGCATTGGAATTTGATTAGGGGTTTTGCGTTGCATTGGAATCATTGGCGTGGCTCTGCCGAGATTCGCATTGCCTTTGTGTTGCTTTGCACTGCTGCGCGCTGCTTTCCATTGTAGTTTTAGATTGGTTCAGGGCTGTTTAAAGGATTTGGACTGCCCGCGAGACTCTTAAGGCCTTTCTTTGGCTGTCTTGCTCATCTTACTTCCACCGCTCCCTCGAGGAATGGTTGGATGTATTAATTATGGGTGCAAACGGTCTTACTCGACGGCTTCCCCCAATCATCCATGAATTCTTTTCAGTGTAAGGAATTGCGTGGGGGGATCGCTAATTGGGTCCCATGGCTAGATGCCTTTGCGGAGGGGGTCTAGGGATAATGCGGGCTAAAATATTGTGATAATCTTACCTTGTCGAAGGAGGGTGCGAGGCAGGTCTGCTATGTGGCGGCGCTCACCAGACCGTTCTCAGGCGCGGCGTGGGCGCGGCGGTGCACGCGCGTGCTGCGGTGCCTGTCCTGCAAGCTCTACGACACGTTCGCGCCGTGTCGACCGGCGGCGACCCCGCCGCCGGTGTTCAACGTTGAACGCCGCCAGCGACCCAGAATCGGTCGATGTTGGACGATCTGACGTTGTGGAAACGGCCGATCGTTCAAGGTTGAATGCCCCCCGCGGTGTCAGAAACCGACGCCCAGGTCGGCGCGATACGGCCATGCCGTGCCTAAGGTGCTCGCTCGCGTCGTGGTAGTCTTCGCACGAGCTGCGTCTGACATGTGGCGCGGCGGTGCGCCGAGGCTCGGGCCGGACGAAAGGGGGGGATTGGGAAAGGGGGGGTTATGAAATCTGCTGCATGCAGCTGGTCTCGGCCCTACCGAGGGGCCCATTCCTGTATATATGGGCGCCTCCGGCGCCGGGGAGGCGCCGAGAAAATCAGCTACGCGAGCTGATTCTCCCCCCTCCCCTTTGCTATCCCCACTTTCGCCCGCGTATCGGGGCGCTGCGGAGTGCCCGCGTATCGGGGCGCTCGCGAGCGCCGCGGTGTTCACGGGCACGGTGGTGGCCGCAGGTTGCGCGGCGACCGCAGACGATCGCGCCCTCCGCGCCTTGTGGCCCGGGCCAGGTCGACACGAAAGAAGCGGGCCCCGAGAGTTCTGACTCAGTCTTTTGGCCTCCCAGGGCGCTCCTCCCCTCCCTTGCTCCTCCTTCTCCTCCTCCTTCTCCTCCTCCTTCTCCTCCTCCTTCTCCTCCTGCTCCTCCTCCTACCCCTACCCCTCCCCTCCTGCTCCTCCTCCTCGTCCTCCTCCTCCTCCTCCTCCTCCTCCTCCTCCTCCTCCTCCTCCTCCTCCTCCTCCTCCTCCTCCTCCTCCTCCTCCTCCTACCTCCTCCTCCTCCTCCTCCTCCTCCTCCTCCTCCTCCTCCTCCTCCTCCTCCTCCTCCTCCTCCTCCTCCTCCTCCTCCTCCTCCTCCTCCTCCTCCTCCTCCTCCTCCTCCCTCCTCCTCCTCCTCCTCCTCCTCCTCCTCCTCCCCCCCCCCTTCCGGGCTGGCAGGAACGGCTCAGGACATTAAGGAGCGGCCCTGGGGGGATGCCCCCGGGCCCGCTGGCCCTCGGGACCCCGAGGGCCCCCCTCTTGCCAACACGTGGCCGGGGCCCAGAGAGCGGGTGCCCCTCGCCAGGGCCGTGCGGCGCGAGGGGCGCGGGGGGCGCGAAGAGGTCCGCGGGTGGCGGGGCGCGGGAGGCGAGCGCCGCGGTGGCCTGGAGGTCTCAGGCGAGAGGAGCGACGCCACCACCAGGGGTGCCACCTCCAGGGAGGAGGCTCGCGCGAGGCCTCCCCCGAGCCGGGGCCTGGGGGACGCCTCGGGCGGGAGGGGGGGGGGGGGGGCACACCACCAGGAGGGCCCTCCTCGGCGCCTCGCGCTGGTGGTGGTGGTGTCTCCATGTCTTGTTCTTGTTGGGAACGCCCCCTGCGGGCCCGGGGCAGTGGGAACAGCGCCGCTTTTGAAGGTGGCCTCGCCCTGCCCTGGCCTGGTCTGGCCTCGTCCTTCCGCGGCCGGCAGTGTCGCCGGCCAGGCGATGCACAGCTCCGCCGGCCATCACGAGCAGAGGATCCGGGCAGCGCAGACCCTTGCAGTGTCCAGGCCACCCGAGTGAGTGGGCTGAGCAGCTGGGGTCGGAGGATCGGCAGGTCGATGTGGAGCCAGATTGGCTCCATGGCGACGGCGCCGACGCATCGGTGATGCATTGGCGATGCGGCGCGGTCTTCCCACTTCGTCTGCTCGGAGCCCTGTTGGGAGGCCTCAACAAAGTCCTCCCTCCATAAACCTCGAGGGTCGAGGTTCGAAAATTGCGGGCGCGTTTTGGGTTGCTTCTGGGCCTCCTGGTGGGCACGGCTGGATCCGCATCGAGATCCCTTCTAGAACACACCAGGACGGGGGTCGAATTGAAGCCCGCGAGCCCAGCCCACCACAGTCTTGACAAGATCGATGCGGATTCGTCATGTGTCGTTTTGGTCGGCTGGGCCCCGTTTTCGGACTCCGCGGCCGTCCCGTGGGAGGTTGAGCGACCCAGGGACCCCGCATGCAACAAGTGAGAACATTGCAGGTGTGGCGAGGAGGATCGAGCATAGACGATTCATGTAGTTGGTTTGTTCCCAGCCATCATGTTGTGTGGGGTCCTCGTTTTGATGCGACAGCGTTCCGCGTCTCACCTCCCGTTGCCCCCACCTCCTATCATTGCCTCTGCCTTCTTCATGCCCCTGCACTCCCCCTCACACGTTCCGTGACCTTACAGGGAGCTCCACCGAGGGCCCCAGTGGCAAGATTCGGATGGCACCACCGCACCCAAGTCGCGCCAGCCACACATATGAAAGCTTTGTGGCCCCACGGGGAGCTGCACCGAGGGCCCCAGAGGCAGGGTTCGCATGCCGCCACCGCATCCATTTCGGCACCCCCCTCACACGCTTCGTGGCCCCATAGGGAGCTCCATCGAGGACCCCATTGGCAGGGCTCGCATGGCGTCACCGCGCCCCATTTAGCGCACCTCTGACACGCTGCGCGACCCCAGCAAGGGGGGCCTCAGCGAGTGCCCCAGTGGCAGAGTTCGCATGCCGCAGCCGCACCCATGCCGGCACGCCCCCTCCCACGGTTCGTGGCCCGGTATGGACTTCCACCGAGGGCCCCGGACGCAGCATTCGCATGGCGCCAACGCACCCACATCGGCGCCCTCCTACCGCGCTTGATGGTCCCATAGGGGGTTGCTCATCTTGCTGCCTTGCGTCCCACCTGTCTTGCAGTCCTCGCACCCGCAAATGGCTGGGTCCTTCGCCAGGATCATGTCGGACGTCTTTGTAGCCTCCAGCGGTGATCGCCTCCCTGTCTCTTACGTTTCCAGCCCGCTCGTTGTCTCGCCGTACGAATCTCCCATATCCCCTCATGTCGCCCCTCCTTCATGCCTTCTCTGTGGAAGCGGGGTGGGACCTGCTGGCAGTGTTCTGAATGCTCGCGGGGCAAGCAGGGGCATCCCTCGGTCCAGCCGCGTGGAAGACCATGCTCTCGTGTTTGGCGTGTCCAGGCCGCGGCTGCCCTCGGGAGCCTCGGCCATCGTTGTGTGTTGCTCGATTTCTCGGCTGGCTTGTTCCTTTGTGTGTGCCATCGGCGCGGTTACCAAGCATCGGAGATGGGGGGCGTCGGTCCAGCATCGGCAAACAGTGCGCACCCCCAACCAAAGTGTTCTCGCACGACCAATGCGTGATCGACGTTGAAAGTTTGGCTCCAGCCAGGGAAGTCTGGGGCCACCGTTCAGCTGTGCAGTTTCATCTGGAGTTCCGCGGCAACATACCGTATACATGATTACCTGTTTCTTTCCCCATATACACACTCCCTCCTTACTGCTCCATCCGTCGTCGTCGTCGTCTCCCCGTCTCCCCGTCTCCCCGTCTCTCCGTCTCTCCGTTCCCGTTCTTCCTTCTCTCCCTTCTTTCACCCCTCATTCCCCCCCCTGGGACTCTGGGCCCCTTCCCCCGGACTGCCGCCGTGAGGCGCTCTCCCCGATTCCCCCTCCCCTGTTGAGCCTCCTCTCTTCGCGTCAGGGGGGAGCAGGAGAGACGTGGGGTGGGCGTGGGATGGGGCACGGAACGTTTCGTTCGGCACGGGAGCGGTGGCTCCGTTGGGATTCGCTGATGGCCGCGCGGTGGCAGCACGGGAGCGGAGAGGATGCGGTGGGGAGGGGCGGGGGGAGGGGGGGAGGCGGGAGCGGGAGGGCAGCAGGAGGGCGGACGAGGGGAAGGAGGAGGAGGCGAGGGGGAGCAGGTTCGGCGGGGCCGCGGGAGGGGCGAGCGGCAGCAGGAGATGCGGGTAAGGGGCCCGAAGAATACACACCACCACCGCGTCGATTCCTCCTCTCTCCTCGTTCCAGCGAGAGGGAGGGGGGGAGGGAGGCGGTGGTGGTGTATAGTTGTGGGCCCCCGAATGGGGGGGGGTGGGTCGATGGGGGACGGCGAGGGAGGGGGCTGCCGCGGCCCCGAAGGATGCGCGACCTGTGACCTCTGTCGGGCCTGCTGTGCTCCGAGGAGCCGGGCGGCGGGAGCGGGTCGCAGGAGAGCGGGGGGAGCAGGGCTGGGGAAGGGAACGGATGGGGGAGGAGGGGGGGAGGGGGAGGAGGAGGAGGAGGAGGAGGAGGAGGAGGAGGAGGAGGAGGAGGAGAAAGGGAGGGGGAGGAGGAGGAGGAAGAAGAGGAGGGGAAGAGGAGGAGGAGGAGCAGGATAACTCGGTTAGGTAGGAGGTGTCGCGGGACGAGGAGGACGGAGGAGGACGGAGAAGGAGGAGGACGAGGAGGAGGAGGAGGAGCAGGAGGATGGAGGATGAGGAGGAGGGGTAGGAGGGACGGACGAGCCGGAATGAGTCTGTGAATTATACAGGGTTTCAGTTTTCGTTAATTCTTTTGCTGAGGCCCTGGGGCCCCATGGGCACTGATTGGCTGCACGCTCGCAGTGCCGCTGCACGTGTACCGTCCAGAACCTGTTGAAAAATGCTGGCCCTCTCCAGGCCCCCCCTCTGATCCCGAGTGTCGTTACTTCGCCGCCGAATCATTTTCTGTTTAATTGCTCGCTTTGAACATATTCGCTGGACAGGGGACGATGCTATATATATATATATACACAAACACAAATATAGAATTATCCGTAGGGCCATCTATATACATATATACACATCTACAAGATTGCATTGGCGCTTCGCGCCATGCACCTTGCTCCGCGCGCTTTGTCTTCACAAAATCGAGCAGTAGCTCCGATAAGTTTCAATCGGTGGGGTTCATGATTTTTGTGGACTTCCATGGTCGTATGGGCAGTTTCAGATAGCCCGAGAGGGCCGCTTGGGCGGTTTGGGGCCACAGTGTTGCAAGTCAGGGTTTGGAGTGCTTCAGGCATGAGTCTTTGGTTTTTTGTCGGTTCAGGGGCTGTCGTAAAGCCGTGTTGCAGCAATGTTGGCTCGTTTCGGACCTTCGTAGAACTCTCCAGAAGCCCGTGTAAGTCAGTTCATGTAATCGGAACTCCTGGATTTCTTCGTGCGGCGATGCGGTCCTTTTTGGGGCGTATTTGCGGCCGCGCCCGCGTTGCGGGGGCCGTCCAGGAGCCTCCGTGTAATTTGGCCGAGGCGGCGGGCCAGAGGCCTTCTGAATGTGTGGGTGTGTCGTTTCTGGGGGAGTTTCTCGGAGGCCCGTTTGAGGCATTCGTGGACTGGTTTGAGGCCCTCTTGGGCCGTTCTGGGACTCTCTTGGGCCTTATCGGGGGTCCTTGGCCGTGATTATTGGGGCTCTCTTGGGCTCACGTGGGGGGCTCCTATGGACCTCCTGGGGCTCTCTCGGATGCCTCTTGGGGCCCTTTGGGTCCCTCTTCGGCCGTCTTCGGGCCCCCTCTCTCTATCCCTCTCTCTCTCTCTCTCTCTCTTTATCCCTATGTATGTGTATACATAAGGTAAAAGAGTAGGTATGTATGTATGTATGTATGTATGTATGTATGTATGTATGTGTGTATGTAGGTATGTATGTATGTATGTTTGTTTGCATGCATGCATGTATGTATGTATGTATGTATGTGTGTGTGTATGTATGAATGTATGTATGTATGTATGTATGTATGTATGTATGTATGTATGTATGTAATGTAATGTAATGGAATGGAATGGAATGGAATGTAATGAAATGAAATGGAATGGACTGGAATGGAATGGAATGGAATGGAATGTATGTATGTATGTATGTATGTTTGTATGTATGTATGTATGTATGTATGTATGTATGTATGTATGTACACACATATATATATATATATATACATATATTTAGATTATGTCTCTGGGTGCGGGGCCTGGAGCTCTGGCCCAGGGACCTCGGTCCCGCACGAGGGGGCCCCACGGAGCCCCGGGAGGCTTCCAGTGCTGTCCAGGAGGCTCCCGGGAGCCCCACGAGGCTCCCGGGAGCCCCACGGGCCCAGCGCAGCCCCCAAGAGGCTTCCAGGAGGCACCCGAGAGGGCCACGGATCGCTCCACGGCGCCTTCGGTAACGCCTCGAGACGCCCCGCAAGGTCTCCTGGACGCCTCCCTCGATTTCTAGGCGTGCCCCTGGAGCGTCGGGAAGACAGGTTTTCAAACTTGTCCCCCTGATCGTGTCTCAACCCTGTTTTTGGACATTCTGCTCACGAGCCTGCATGAGCAACCAGCCCCTGCATGCCCAGGCAAGGCTCCTGAACTGGAGCTGGGGATTCGAGCGAATTGCTGGAGAGCGGGGAGTGGAGGAATAAGAGAAGCCAACGGCTTGGCAAAGCCGCGCGACTTCTCCCTGGTGACGACCTGGCTTGGGCTTCCCATTGCGTGGCGTCTCGGCAAGCCTTCAGGTGTCAGCATCGGTGAACGATATGATGGCGTGCTACGCGGACGGTCGGACCATCTTTGTAGTGCTGCTTATTCCATTTTTTTTCCCTGAGGGTGAGCGCCTCGGAGGGAGGAGGAGGAGGAGGAGGAGGAGGGAGGAGGGAGGAGAGGAGGAGGAGGAGGAGAGGAGGAGGAGGAGGAGGAGGTAGGAGGAGGAGGAGGAGGAGGAGGAGGAGGAGGAGGAGGAGGAGAGGAGGAGGAGGAGGAGGAGGAGAGGAGGGAGGAGGAGGAGGAGGAGAGGAGGAGGAGGAGGAGGAGGAGGACTGGACCTGGGCAGACACATTGCTGGGCAGACGGGCCTCGTGGGAGGCCTCTTGGAGCACCCTCGGGGCGTCTTGGGGGCCTCCTGGGCTGTCTGGGGGGGCCGTATTGGGCGTCTTGAAGCGCTCTTCGGGCGCCTCGGGGCGCTCCTAAGCCGCCTCGGGGGGCCACTCGGGCCCTCTCGGCCCGTCCTGAGCCCTGTCTTGGCTCCGAGGGAGCGTCGCGGGAGAGTGTGGGGAGGCGCGGAGGGCGCGCGGCACGTCTTGGAACATAAACGTCCTGCTCTGGATGCCGGGCCCCGGATCGTGCTTCGCTCGCAGGGGCCGAGGACGGAGAACGCCAAGGGCCCTGCGGACGCTCCAGTGCATGCCTCGGGGCACGGCGGCGGAGCTTCTCCCCGGGCGTGCTCTTGTGGCTCATGATCTGTCCGTTGCCGAGGTGGACTCTGGAAGTGGTGGACGCCGGAGATGTGCACTGTGGACGGGCGGGCGACAGAATCCGAACCCTGCCCTCGCCGATCATAGAGTCAGGCAGCTCGACGGGCGGCGGGGGTAGGGTTCGGAAACTCGTCGAGCACCTGGCGAAACCCGAGCCATCTCCCTCGCCTCATCGGCTCACGAGAATCGATGGCTGGCGGGGGTAGGGTTCGGAGATCGCCGCCCAGCGGACACGGGGATGGGCACTGGGGATGGACGGACCCTGGGCGTGGACATCGGGGAGGGGTGCTGGGGGCGGACGCTGAGGATAGGCACGCGCACCTGCGCCGCTTGCGCTTACGTGACGTGTTGGGAGGTCTTTCTTACTCTTTGGGAGGTCCTGCTTACTTTGTGGGAGATCCTGCTTGCTTTGGGCTGCTTCTTGTCGGGGAAGTCCTGTTTACTTTTTGCGAGGCCCTGCTTACTTTCTGGAGAGGTACGCAGGCGCAGCTGGCGGGGGGCTGGCCGCGGCGGGCAGCGCGGCGGGCAGGACCCCCTGCGCAGGATATATGGAGGGAGAGCCCCTGAGCCGGGCCGGTGGTCAGCGCGGGCGCCCTGGTAGCCCAGGCCTCGCCCTGTCTGCCGCCAGCCGTCACAGTCAGGGGGCGCTCGATGGGGAGGGGACGGTCGTCGGAGAAGAAAAAACATAACAAACACAACCAGAACAACAACAGTACCAACAACACCACCAACAACACCATCAACAACACCGATGACGACAACAACAACCACAACCACAAACCACAACCACAACCACAACCACAACACCACAACCATAACCACAACTACACCAACCGTCACAACAAGAACACCAACAACAGCTGCACCAACAACAATAACACTAACATTCGTAGCAACAGTAATACCAACAGCCACAACACCAGCAGCATCAGCACCACCAGCAACAACACCATCAGCAACGGCAGCAACGGCAGCATCAGCAGCAGCAGCAACAATATGCTGGGGCTCCCCGCGGACTTCCCGGCTCTCCGCCGCGGGGGCCTCGGGCGGGCCCTCCGGCGCCGCCCCTGCCGGGGCTCCGTGCGCCGAGGGGGGCGCGTGCTGCAGCGCAGGCCCAGGACATCCGCGCGGGCCTCCAGCGGGGTCCGTCGCTTGGTGTCGCACGGACGTGTGCTCTCGGCGGGGATTATTAGGGAGCATCCCAGATCGTCCGTGCGCCGGGGGGGCGTGCTGCATCGAAGGTCCAAGGCATCCGCGCGGGCCCCCAGCAGGGTCTGTCGCTTGGTATCGCACGGACGTGTTCTGCACGAGCGAAATGGGCACGGAAAGAGTGGGCACAATGCCCAAGAGCAGTTCCTGTTCGTTTTGAGCAGAGCTCGCTGTCCGCGCCGCCGCGGCCTGTGTCCACTTGAGACAGAAGGCCGCCTGCCCAACAGCGGCCGCTGTTGGTTTGGGGCAACATTTGTTGTTGGGCATTGTACCCATTATTTCCGTGCCCATTTCGGGCGTCCAAACGTGTGCACTCCTCTCTCGGCGGGGATTGCTAAGGAGCATCCCAGATCGTCCTGCGGAAAAAAAAACACGCACGAAACCGAACAAAGAGCACAGGGGATGGACGTCCTGGCGACGGGGAGGTCTGGTTCGGGTGCATCTCCTGGGAGGCTCGATTCAGCATTGGTGCGCCGGTATAGTCGTGGTCGAAAGCCGGTCTAATCGGGCATTGTCTCGCCAGATTTCGCGTAATGCGGCTCAATTTGGGTCGATGTTCCACGTAATCCGGCCTGAACAATTGGTTTGATGGCCCTTGGATCAAGCTTACTAGCCCTCAAAGAGACCATCCAGGAGTTGTTTTTCCTCAGGGGGCTGGATCCAGGCTCCCGCGTCGTGAGCAACAAAAACACGACGGATGAGTTGCTGGGCACTGCGCTGCCCCCGGGGCCCTCACAGGGCCGCGGGTCGCAGGCGGTTTTTCTACCCCCAATCCCCCGAGCTCCGCCCGAAAAGTTTGGCGTCTCAGAAAAAGGGTGAAACTCTGGGATATACCCCTAGGGGTACCCCTAGGGGGCTAACCGGACGCACCCCTATCGAAGATGGACGCCCCCCCATCGTATATCCCAGGATTGGGCCCCGCATTATTAGCCCATTCGGAAGCTCCACGGAGCGTGGGATACGGGGTCGACATGTCCCCTGTCAGCTGAGCCGTCAAGACCGTCTCGCGGTGCAAAAGCTGGCCCTCGGGGTCCAGCCCCCTGCGGGTGCACGCGCAGCGCGGCAGAGGCGGCACGGGCGCCAGCCATTCTCGACGCCTCGTGGCCTCAGAGGGGGCAAGAGGTCATGATAATGGTAGCCTCTAAGCTTCCCAAGATTTCCGGATTGTTTCCAAATGTTTCCAGTTGTTCCGCACGGACTCCAGGAACGGTGCCTTCCAGATGCTCCGCAATTTCTGGAACGTGTCCGGCGCAAATCGCATCATTACATCATTGCGGTCCCAGGGTCAGTCGCGCGTTTGTGCCACCCGCTCCGTCGCACCCCGACGCGGTCTCGGCTTCCTTGCTGAAGATGCGTGCCCAGATTGTGCTCCGCTTGCTCAGGCCTTCCCCAAAGACCAGGCATTACACCCTTGGCTTCTGTACCAATGTCGCGTCGCCCGCGTGGCCCTCTTCTGAGGCGACACGCACGATGGGCTTCAGTTGGGCCCGAGGCTCTGAGTTCAGTGGTGATTGTCGCAGCGGCGAGCCTGCCCGCTCACGTGGGCGCGCATACGACAGTGACGTTGGTTGCTCTCCGAGGCAGGAAGCTGTTTCCTGCTGCGGCCCTTACGCCGTGTGCTACTCGATTGGCACATCAAATTATATTCGGCGGCGAGCGAGGGGGCACAGTGAGAAGGAGAAGGCCCGCTCAATAGGCAGCGGGACCTCTCAGAAGCTCTCGCGCCGTCCGAGCAGTTTTTTGCTTGTCCTCGGGGAAGGCTCAGAACACTTCTCAGAAGGCCGGGCGACTTCCGGGCCTTCTGGGAAGGCCAACCCCGTCTCACCTCCCCCCCGCCCCGCCGCCGCCACCGGTGTGCCAGGCAGTGAGTTCTTGTACCCTGGCCGTGTAACATGCGCGGCGCAGGCCATGCGGCGCGAACTGTGTGGTGCAATCTGTGCGGCCCAAGCCGTGCGGTGCAAGATGCGTGGCCCACGGCGCCTGCACGCCCACCCCCCCTCCATCGAGGTGGGCACGAACCTCTTACGAGAGAGACAGAGAGAGAAGCAAGAACAGCGAGGGAATGAATAGCCTGATCCTCGAGACTCCCTGTCATGCTGAGGTGACTCTTCCCCCCATCTCCCATCTTCCTCTTCCCCCCTCCTCTTCCTCTTCCTCCTCGTCCTCCTCCGCTCTTGCCGCAGAGCGGCTATCAGCGAGTTCCAACCAACTCCTTGTCGTCCGCTCCCCGCCTCTTCTCCTTCCCCTTCCCCTCCTCCCAGCCTCATCTTCCACCTCCTGCCTCTGCCCCTCCATCCCCCCCTCTTCCTCCCCCCACCTCCTCTATCTTCCTCCCCCCACACCTCCTCTATCTTCCTCTTCCTCCCCCCCCCTCCTTCCTCCCCCCCACCTCCTCTATTTCCCTGTGCCTTGTAAATGTTGGCCAGCGTGAATCCCAGACGAGCAGGTGACTGCACCGTGGACATGTCAGCTATGTGGTGCAACCTGAGTGGTTTGTAAGCTGCGTGGTGCAGCATAGAACGGTGCAAGCCTGATGCGGCATCGAGGCAGCGAATGGCGGCAACGTGGCGGAGCCTTCCCAGACTCCCCCAGCGCAGGGGCGCCGGCAACGAGGCGGCAGCGCGGCGAAACTTCGCCGAACCCACCCAACGCAGGATGCGGTAACGGGCAGCAGCGTGTCGAACCTTCGCCAGACCCACCCAGCGCACGATGCGGCTGTGGGCGGCAGCGGGCTTCACCGCGGCCAAGCCTCGCCGGACCCACCCAGCCCACGATGCGGCAACAGGGAGTCAACGGGCAGCAGCGTGGCGAGACCTCGCCGGACCCATCCAGCGCAGGAGACGGCAATGCAGAGAAGCATCGCCAGACTCGTCCAATCTGTTCTGGCTCAAGATGAGGACCCCTCAAGATCAGTTTGGGGACTGAATGAATATCTCCTTCCTGTCGCACCCCCAGACATGTCGATAGGGCGGGCCAGGCGTTTCGGTCGAGACTTGCTAAGCATTCATTCGATGCAAGCTTGGAATGTGCGATTGTTTCGCGGATAGAGGTCGGATCGTTGTCAAAATGTGGTTATAGCCTCAGTTCCGCGCGCATTCAGTGTAAAAGTAGGCAACAGTTTCACGTATGGACGGGGGGGGGTCAGAATGTGCATCTAGCCTTCGCACCCCGCGCATTCGTGTTAAAAGCATTCAGCAGTTTCTCGGATGGACAGGGGGTAATGTTCAAAATGTGGTTCTCGCTTCAGCACCGCCAATATTCGCCTCATCAGCCTGCAGCCGTTTCAGGGATGGAGGGGGGTTCTATTTAAAATCCGGCTGGCGCTGTAGTTGGCGCGCGTTCGTCTGATTTGTTTGCAGCCGTTTCACGGATTGGGGGCAGTTTTTTGTTTCAGAATTCGGTTATGGTGTTAGCCCTGCGCACATTCGTCGTAACAGTTTGTAGCAGTTTCACGGATGGAGGGGAGGAAGGGGGGGAGCAAAATATGGTGTTCGCCTCACCGCCGCGCGCATTCGGTGTAAAATATGCAACACCTCGCCGATGGAGGACGGCCTCTCCTTCAAGACGTGGTTCTCGCTTGACCGCCGCGCACGCTCGTCTGAAACACTCGCAAAACAGTTGCACGGGTGGTGGGTGCGTTTTCCAAATGCGGTTGTCGCCTTAGTGCCGTGAACATTCGTTTCAAACGTTCGCATTTGTTTCACGGACGAAGGACGGTTCTTGTTCAAAGCGTTGTCCTCATTTTGGCGCCGCTAGCGAGGTGGTAACAGTCTCCAGGACCGAGCATTTGTCGTTTTCAAGCTGGGGCTCTTGCCGCGGCGCCGCGCGCATTTGTTCCCCACATCCTGAGTGGGGTTCTTGTTTTCCCAGAACACCCTCTCCTTCCCACCCACCTCCCGCTCCATCTTCCATACAGCACAATATTATTCCTACCACACACACCATACCATACCATAGTTCCTACCACACATACCATACCATACCATACCATACCATACCATACCATACCATACCATACCATACGTACCATACCGTACCATACCATACCATGGCGTACCATCCTCTCCAGGGAGGCCCCGCCTGAGCGAGGAGGGTATCCGAAACCATACTATTTACATGGTTTCGTGCCCCTCCCACCTCTCCAGGGAGGCCCCGCCTGAGCGAGGAGGGTATCCGCAAACCATACTATTTACATGGTTTCGTGCCCCTCCCACCCCTCCAGGGAGGCCCCGCCTGAGCGAGGAGGGTATCCGCAAACCATACTATTTACATGGTTTCGTGCCCCTCCCACCCCTCCAGGGAGGCCCCGCCTGAGCGAGGAGGGTATCCGCAAACCATACTATTTACATGGTTTCGTGCCCCTCCCACCCCTCCAGGGAGGCCCCGCCTGAGCGAGGAGGGTATCGGAAACCATACTATTTACATGGTTTCGTGCCCCTCCCACCCCTCCAGGGAGGCCCCGCCTGAGCGAGGAGGGTATCGGAAACCATACTATTTACATGGTTTCGTGCCCCTCCCACCCCTCCAGGGAGGCCCCGCCTGAGCGAGGAGGGTATCGGAATACCATACTATTTACATGGTTTCGTGCCCCTCCCACCCCTCCAGGGAGGCCCCGCCTGAGCGAGGAGGGTATCGGAAACCATACTATTTACATGGTTTCGTGCCCCTCCCACCCCTCCAGGGAGGCCCCGCCTGAGCGAGGAGGGTATCCGCAAACCATACTATTTACATGGTTTCGTGCCCCTCCCACCCCTCCAGGGAGGCCCCGCCTGAGCGAGGAGGGTATCGGAAAACCATACTATTTACATGGTTTCGTGCCCCTCCCACCCCTCCAGGGAGGCCCCGCCTGAGCGAGGAGGGTATCCGCAAACCATACTATTTACATGGTTTCGTGCCCCTCCCCCCTTCCAGCGGGGCCCCGCCAAAGCGAGGAGGGCATCAAGAAAATGGGTCCCACGAAACCGTTAATCTCTTTATGTGGGGAACTCCGTTAGCATACATTTTTAATGCAATGTTCCGTTTGATGGATGACTACTTCTTTTCAGAATGCAGTTTTCGCCAGAGGCGTCGTTCAATTAACTACTCGAGACTTCAACGAATGCAGCGTTGCGCGGATCCATGGCGGCTCCTCTTCAAAGTTGAGTTGTTGCTTGTGACTTCCTTCCTCGGAGTTGATGATCACACTGGTAATCTTGTGCCACGGTCACACGACTGGGAGGCGGTCCTTCGTCGAAAGGGGGTTCTCGCTGGACAGACACCGTTGAAGTGCATGACCATGATCTTTTTCCTTCCTGGCTACTGGATGGGGCAAGAGTCGCCCCCCTCCCCCCCCCCCCCTTGGATCCGCCGGGGGGGTTGGGCACGTGCTGTTGAAACGGGTGGAGGGGCGTTGCAGGAGGAGGAGGAGGAGGAGGAGGAGGAGGAGGAGGAGGGGAGGAGGATCGGGAGGAGGAGGAAGGTTGGTCGCCCACCCGTCGATCAATATGCCACCCAGAGTGCGTGCCAGCGGGATGCATTGCAACTTCTTCTCGGAGCCGGGCCTTCGCCAACACGGAAGGCTCAGCTGCGTGGTTGGTTTTTACAGGGGAGGGGGCGCCCTTTGAAGGCAACGGGAGGATTCCACCCCACCCCTCCTCCTCCTCCTCCTTCTCCTCCTCCTCCCTCCTCCTCCTCCTCCTCCTCCTCCTCCTCCTCCTCCTATCCCTCCTCCTCCTCCTCATCCTCCCCCTCGTCCTCCTCCTCCTCCTCTCCCTCCTCCTCCTCCCCCTCTTCCTCCTCCTCCCCCTCCTCATCCTCCTCCTTCTCCTCCTCCTGCTCCTGCTCCTCCTCCTCCCCCTCCTCCTCTTCCTCCTCCTCGTCCCCTCCTCTCCTCCTCCTCCCCCTCCTCCTCCTCCCTCCTCCTCGTCCCCCTCCTCTCCTCCTCCTCCCCCTCCTCCTCTTCCTCCTCCTCGTCCCCCTCCTCTCCTTCTCCTCGTCCCCCTCCCCCCCCATTCCGAAACGCAGTGAGGAAGGGATACCCAGGGCGGCGCCGCACCGATCGGCGCTCCTCGCGCGGCGCGAGTGCTGGCGGGCCCAGAGCTGAGTCTTGCTCGCGCGGGGCAAGAAGATGCTTGTCGCGCGCGTCGCGAGCCGAAGCTTAAGTCATAGGAGGAATATTTAAGGACATAGGAGGACATAGGACATAGGAGGAATATTTAAGAATAGTCAAAAAGTCGGGGAACAAGTTTTCCTCCATTTCTGATTATCTTGGAGGCTTGTGTTTGATTATGTTTGTTTGTTCGTCCAAAATCCGTCTGTAGGGGGACATGCCCGTCCTAATGCTTGTCGCGCGCATCGCAACCCGACGGTGCTGCAGGCAGCATTTCGCAACCTCAGAGCTCCCCAATGCCGTCGTCGATGCGGAGAGGGGTGATGAACTTTTCGGTCGTTCTTGGGGGTGTTCTCGCCTCGGGCTGCTCTGCAGCAGCGGCGCCTCGTCGAGAGCTCTCCGGGGGTGCTCGGATTGTCCCAAGCCGCCGGAGGCCCAAGACATGGCCCGAAAACCACCAGGCCACTCGCGCTCGCGCGTGGCGGGCCAAACGCCGCAGGGCACAAACGGGTCTGATCATGAGATCGACCTTACAAAGCAGAGGGTGCAAGTTATTCTGTTTACAAGGATGTGTGCCCTCGTTGTCTGGAGCACGGGTCGCCTTCGGAAGAGACTTCGTATCATCGTGGGTCTCCTCTGGTATCAGTTCTGCTTGTAGTGGGCGGTCAGGGATAGTTCCTGCTTCGGGCAGCCCTTCATCGAGCCAGAGTTTTTTCTTTGATTGTACGCAGCTTGAGTTTCATCGAATCACGCATCTTACCCCATGTAGATACTGTCTAGTAATTCCTGGATCAAGCGGTTCCAGGGTTTCCCTGAACACATTTGGGGACCCAACGCCAGGGCCCTGCCTGGGCCAGGTGTATCCCAGATAACTCGGGTGCCCAGATTTCTCCCCGTCGTCCTCGCAGCTGCTTGTTTTTGCTCTTTGGCCCGCGTGGCTTACCACGGCCACACGCCACAGGCATGCCTGGATAATCATACTTCGAGAAGAAATCATGATAACAGGCCCAGGTGTCCCGTGCGATCGGCGTCATTGGCGCGACAGGCTCAGGCGCAGGCACGATGCGTTGTCTCAGGAGGCTCGATAGTGCTGGATCCAGGGTTTTCGGAAGGCATGTCGTACGATTGGAGCCTGTTTCTTCTTCCGGGGCGATGATGGCCGTCGGCGGCGGGAGCGGGCCGGTGACGTCGCGCTTCGCGCCGGCGGCGTTTGGGAGTGCTTTGTAATGTCCGAGGACAGGTAGCAGCAGCATGTAGGCGGCGATGTGCACCACAGCGCCTGTGTACACCAAAGAGCCTGCGTGCACCACAGCGCTTGTGTACACTGCGCCTGCGCACACCACATCCGCCGTGTGCAACACAGCACCAGTGTACACCACAGTGCATACGTACACTACAGCGCCTGTGTACACCACAGCGCCTGTGTGCACCACAGCAACCGTGTGTATCAGAACTCCTGTGGATCCCACAGAAGACAATTTTTGTATATAGGACTTGCAAAATCATCCTCATGAAAAAAAGGAGCGCCTCTGGAATTCCCGAGTCCTCCAGAGGAGGAGGAGGAAGAAAGAGTACGAGGAGGAGGAAGAGGAGGAGGAGGAGGAGGAAGAGGAGGAGGCGGAGGAGGAGGAGGAAGAGGAGGTGCCGTGCCGGGCCTTTGGGATCGGGACTCCGGGACGCGCGCACAGACAGGGGCGGCGTCTTCATGAAGAAGTTCGCTTGAGTCGCGGGTCATTGTGGAGGCAGTGCAGTGGGAGGCCTTGTGGCATGGGGGCGCTGTGGCATGGCACCATGGCGACTCTTGTCCATGTACTGTGCACGCAGGCATTGTGGTGTACACCAGCGTAGTGTTGCACGCGGGCGCTGTGGTATAGACAAGCGCTGTGGTGTGAACAGGCGCTGTGGTGCACGCGATCGCTGTGGTGGACACGGGCGCTGTGTTGCAGACGGCTGCTGCTGTGTACACATTCGCTGTGGTGTACACAGGTGATGTGGTCCACGCAAGCACTGGTGTACACAGGCGCTGCGTTGCATACGGCTGTTGCGGTGTACGCAGGCGCTGTGGCGTGTGCGCGCGCTGCGGTGCACGCGAGCACTGTGGTGTAGACAGGCGCTGTGGTGCGAATCGCCGCGGACATGCTGCTCCTGCGTCGCCTCGATCATCCCTGGGCGTTCTCCGGCGCCGCCAGCGCGGAGCGTGGCGTCACGCTGTTGGGTTGCGGTGGCGGGCGAAGCCCGCGACGGCCGTTATCACGGATTTTTTGTTTAGCCCCCCAAACAAAAATCTACACAGATTTTGTGTCACTGGTGATGTCCAGGGGTCTCGGGATATGTCGGGGGGGGAGGGTGCATACTACGCCACCAATATGCAAAGTCGTGTACTTTTGTATCGTGCCTTCCTGCCCCCTTTCATGCCTCGAGTGCTCTCTCGTGAATTGCCGCCATTTCACTGGTCGAACCTTTGCTCCAGGATCGGGGAAGGAGAAGTACGGATACCGTCGCCGTTGCCCTTGCTTCGTTTTCGAATATCTGGGCTTCTTGGGAGGCCCTCGTTGCCAACGCTGGGTTCGCTTCGCATTTTTTGGCAGAACGCACCCCGGGAGAGGTCTGGGGAATAGCGGTATCGGTATCTTTTGGTTTCCCCACAGCGGGGCGTCCGTTGAAGGACGTTTAATACTTGGGCGCAAAGGTGTCAACGTGATTGGTGCACTTTTCACACACACACACACACCAGGGCATTCTGGTCATTGCACAGTCAGTGCAGGCTGTTTGGTGCGCAGGCACAGTGCCCTTCGCCCCCCACCCCGATCTTTCAGCCGCTGGGCTTCTTTGCTGAAGAAAGTGAGATTGGCGAGTGACCATAACATATGCAGTTCTGGGGGATCGGTTGTGAGAGTCCTCTTCGGTGGCGGTCCCCACGGGGCCTCGAAATGTGTGAGCGGTGTGCCGAAACGGGGCGGGGGCGACGCATGTGGACTGTGCCACTGGAGCCTTCTGGGGAGCTCCCTACGGGGGCTAGAAACATGTGATGGGGTGTGCCGGCATGGTGTGGGGGGACGCATGTGGACTGCGCCAGTGGGGCCTTCGGTGGAGTTCCCGCTTAGGGCACGATGCGTGTGACCGAAGTGCGGCGGGGGGGTGCATGTAGATGCGGCCTGCGGGGCCTTGGGTGGAGCTCCCTTTGGGGTACGAAACCTGTGAGGGGTGTGCAAAATGGGGCGGGAGGGCGCATGTGCACTGTGCCACTTTCGCCTTCGGTGGAGCTCCCTGTGTGGCCGCGATGCGTGTGAGGGGTGTGCCGGCATAGTGCGCGGGGGACGCATGTGGACTGTGCCAGTGGAGCATTTGGTGGAGCTCCTTATCCGCGCCATGAAACGTGCGAGGGGTGTGCCGACATGTGGCGGAGTGACGCATGCGAGCTGTGCCACTGGGGCCTTCGAAGGTTCTCCTTAGAGGGCACGGAGTGTGTGCGCGTTGTACAAGTATGTGACGAGGTTGTTGTGCGGAATGCAGCAGCAGGGATGGGAGGAGGGAGGAGGGTGAGGAGAGGAGAGGAGACGCGAGCCGCCCTCTTTTAAAAACGAAGGGGCCCAACACCACAAGATGGTCGGAAAACAAGCTGCAGTCAGTGCGAGGCGCCAGATGGGGGAGTTGAGCAGCACGTCGCCGGCAGCGCGTGCGCGGCAAGGCTGTTGCGTCCTCTCCATCTGGATCTTGGGCCACAGATCTCGGGCTGTTCTGAGAAGGCCATATGGTTGCCCCCACTCGGGCCCCGTGCCGAGCTGGTACCACCCCTTAGTCAGGGGAGAAGAAGAAGAATAAGTTGGCTGCACACACGAGAAGGGACTGGTGCCGCGGGGGTGCGGCCTGCTGAGAACGCGGGGGGCTCCGTCAAAGGGCCCGGGGGCTTCAAAGAAGGAGCCAGGGGTGCTTCTGAAAAGGCCTTTGCCTTCTGAGGCACCCTCCCCACTTCTCAGAGGCCGCCCCCTTCGGGCCACCCCACTGCGCCCGCTGCCAACACAGCGTAGCTACAGATACCGATGCGTTCTCACCGCCTTTACTTGTTTTGGCCTGCTGAGGGTCATCGTCGCCTCCTGCTGGACCCGCCTCAGTCAGAATCTTGATCAGAACGCACCCTGGAAGAGGCCTGGGGAGTTACAGTATTGGTATTGTTGTGTTCCCCTATCGATTATTCCTGAGGGATTTCTTGTGCACTGCCAGTCTTGCCTTTACGGCGCTTCTTTCCCGAAAGCAAGGTGCAAGAACGCTTCAGCTTTTACCTGGAGCGTCGTGCGCAAGCTCAAGGAGAACCCTGGCTCCCTGAGGCGGGCCCTGCTTTCGACGCCGTGCAGCGGCTACAGCCAGGGGCAACCCATGATGTGTTTTGTCCCAGGGTTGCACCAGTGGGCGATCGGATGCGACGATCCGCCGAAAGTGCAGCTTGGAGCCGCTCACCGGGAGCGAAGATCGGTGTCATCGGGGGAGACGCCACTCACGATCCCGTCCGAGGCTTAGGATGCAACCCTGGAAGTCTGAATTCGGCGTCGGCACTGGCAGATCCGTGACCGGAAAATGATACAAATATTGTTTTTTCCCGCCTGAACCTGGCATAATCCAGCGTAACATTGCTGAAAACCGCGGGCGGGCACTATCCGGCCTCATCCAGCTTGATGGCCCCTTGATTGTGCTTAATAGTTCCTACTTGTTTGCATCAGTAAGGTGGTGATTCGGAAGCATATCATGGGAGCCTGGTGTGCCCTCGCAACTCCTTCTTTAGAGCGCATCCGCGTGCGCCAGCGACTCCACAATCTTTGAGACAGCGCCGATCCAGCGACAATCCAGCGTCGACGCGCGTCGATCAGCCTCGATCTCGCAAGAGCCAGCACCGCGGCGTGGGTGGCTCCCGTGCGTTGCCACCGAAGTCCGACCTTCTCATCCGAGCCGTTGCTTCTCGTCATGCAGTCAGACCCGATTAGTAGGTCGACCCTGCCAAGTCACGGGTACCCGTGTGTCCT